GCGTGGGTTTTTCTCCGAGTATTTCGGATTTTCCCTGCACATTTGGAATCAACATTCGTTCAGAGTATTTGGCGGCTATAAATTTCCACGTGATAAGCCACATCGTTGAGCTATGGTTTGTGGCCAGGTCGCTTCTGAATAAGAGCTATATAGCTCAGTGGGCTTTACCTGGTACAATAACAAAAATTGTTTACTTTTAGTTGTATGTGCTGGCTGTGGTGAAGCTAAGTTATCAATTAATGGCCAACATTATTTTTGACTTGCCAAATTTTATAATATAGTTTTGTTCAACTCCCTCTGCCCCCCCCACCACCCACACACTTTATTTATTTAATATTGCTGGGGACAGCAGATCGATCAAAGAACCCGTGTTAAAGCCTGCCATCACTGACACCCTATCCCTTTGATCGATGGGGTGTTCAGCCGAGACTTAATATATGAACATTATTGCGCCGCGCTGTCTCTCTTTCATTTTATTTTATCTGTCTGTGGCCCGGTGGTATGAAGGGCAAGAGGATGGGGACGATAATTCAGTCTGGGAGTAGGCAAAAATGAAAGGAAAAAAAACCAAGGGAAATCAATGGCTCATTGGGCTCAGGACTTAATCGGGTCCTTACACATTTATTTTTATATTTATCAATGCGCCGAAGGAACGGAGAGATTTGGGATACTTCCCAGCCATTTGCAGTGTGCTCGCCGCCACTGCCAAAGTAACCTTTAAGTTTTGGACCACATTTCGTGTTCTTGCTGCTGGAGAGAGAAACAGAAGCGTTGCTTGACTCGTTGAGGAATCTACCTGGACGATTTGGCAGCGCTCAGGACTTGCGGATCCAGAGGTCGGCGGTTCGGATTCAATCTCGCTGGCGTGGCCTTTGAAACAATGGGGGGGGGGGGGAGCGAGTTTCTTAAAATCTCATCACCGGTCCCCGCTCACGTGGCGAGCCGCCCATCACAACGCACGTGGTGACCGCTGAGAAGATTTAAAATGCGTGGAGCAAAGAAAAAAGTGGCACTCGAATGATGATGAATGGGTGTTCACCGCTGAGGTCGCTACGACTTAGCGGACTCAGAAACGCGGTTGACAGGTTGCTTGCAACCACAAAGGGGTTGGGGGGGGGAGGGCTCATGCCGCGCAAAATCACGGCCGCAAAAAAGAAACGTGAGCGGAGAGGTTTTCACGGTTTTTTTTTCTGCGGTTAATGTGAGCCTTAATTACACAGCGTGTCCTGCCGAGAGAGATGGGTTGGGAAATAAATAAATAAACGCTTGCCAATCTAGGCCTAATTAAATTAGACATTTCCTCGGAGTGAAAGTTGCGGGGTTTGACCGCACGACCTCTGCGCCCCACGCCCACCGGCGGCGGAGCGCTGGAGGTAAATTTATCCTTGATATTTACTTATCTTTTGTCGAGCCGGAGTCTCTCAACGTGGGAGCAATTCCCTGGCAATTACTCGCATTTGACATCGGGGGCCCCCACGGCTGCCGGTTCAACACAGTCGGCTACGGGCTCCGCGAATCGAGCGCTGTGTGCTGCCAGCGAATGGGGTTTGGTGGGTCTCTCACCGCGCCGATGTCACCAAACTGCCCTCCCGTGGGCGTCGAGAAGTTGCCCGTGACCCGGCGCAGCGACGTGCAGACCGACCTCCAGCTGTGTGTGCTCTCTCCGTCTTCCTACCGAATGTATGGGGTGCTTCAAAAAAATGTTAACATTTGCATGGGACTATCGTTTTCAATGGGAAAAGAACGGATGATTCACTGCAACATGAACGCAAATGTATGTTAATAGCTTCAAAAAGTTTCCACAAGTTCGCCGTCATTGTCAACGCGTGCCTGGGATCTTCTCCAGACGGTCTCTAGAGCCCAGAGGCGGCACATTTCTCGTGGTATTATTGCAAATTCTCAGAAGTGTTAAAAAACACATTTTTTCAGCACCCTGTGTGAACACTAATTAATTGTCTGAAAGCGTCTTTATATAGAGAGGACCGCAGAGCTTGGAGGGGGGTGGGGCGAATTTGCCGCCGGCTCATCACCTGGTTGCTGCTGCTGCCCTTCCCGTTTGTCTGTGATTCTTCCTCGTGCCCCCCCCCCCCCCTTAGTCTCTCTCTCTCTCTCTTCGAGAGCGAGTAAGCGGATGGTATGCGGCGGCGCGTTACAGGTTGAGGATTAACACGTCGGAGGCTATTCGCGACCAATATCGTCCATAATAGAGGGTTTTTTGTGGTTAGATCGCGTACATATATAATGTGTCGTTAAAACCCGCCACCACGCGACACAACCAACTAGTCTACGCCTCTATGTAAGGAACGAAACAGGTGGACTTCTCCACAAATCTGGCTGTCGCCTGATGAAGCTAGTGGTAATTACTGTCGAAACGTCGTACTCAGTTTGTAAATGTTGTAGCTTGGCTCTCCAACACACCGGTGTGCTGTATTGGCCACGTTCTGCTTACGTGACAACCCTTACTCGTTGGCTGTGTCGGGTGGTGGCGGGTTTTAACGACACATTTATATATTTACGCGATCTAACAAAAAAAAAAACCTCTATTAAGGTTGAGATCATTATAGATATTCTTCCACGAAGTTTTTTTTTTTAAAGCGAGTCCACACGAAAACTCCTGGTAATGTAGCTTTATTATTCCACCGACGCCAACACTTGCAGGGCACGACCACTTTCTCTTTCCCAGAAGTCCCGAGCCATTATCTCACAACCCCTCGTGACCGCATGCCCGCACCTGCGATTAGCACGGTTGGCTACGTGCGATGTGAATTGAGTTCAACTTACATGCATACGATGGATGCTATCGACGGGGCGAGCAAATGTCGATTGTCGCTCTCCCGGTCTCGAGAACAACACCAACACAATGTCACGCTGACTGCATGGGAATTACGTCAATTTCGTTGCAGGAAATGAATGACTTTGTATCACATTGGAAACATGTTTTCTCCTCTGGGTCTATGTTGTGTGTCTCTATCTGTGTGTGTCTCTGTGTTAGCTCTCTCTGTTTGTGTGTCTGCGTGTCTATGTTGTGTGTCTCTATCTGTGTGTGTCTCTGTGTGTCTCTCTCTCTGCTTGTGTGTCTGTCTGTCTGTGTGTCGATGTTGTGTGTCTCTATCTGTGTGTCTCTGTGTTGTCTTTCTCTGCTTGTGTGTCTATCTGCGTGTCTATGTTGTGTGTCTCTGTGTGTGTGTCTCTGTGTTGTCTCTTTCTGCGTGTGTATCTGTCTGTGTGTCTATGTTGTGTGTCTCTCTCTGTGTGTCTGTGTTGTCTCTCTCTGCTTGTGTGTCTGTCTGTGTGTCTATGTTGTGTGTCTCTCTCTGTGTGTCTGTGTTGTCTCTCTCTGCTTGTGTGTCTGTCTGTGTGTCTATGTTGTGTGTCTCTCTCTCTGTGTGTCTCTGTGTTGTATCTGTGTGTCTATGTTGTGTGTCTCTCTCTGTGTCTCTGTGTTGTCTCTCTCTCTCTGCGTGTGTGTCTGTCTGTGTATCTATGTTGTGTGTCTCTATCTGTGTGTCTCTATGTTGTCTCTCTCTGCTTGTGTGTATATCTGTGTGTCTATGTTGTGTGTCTCTCTCTCTGTGTCTGTGTTGTCTCTCTCTGCTTGTGTGTCTGTGTGTCTCCGTGTCTGTGTTTTGTCTCTCTCTCAAATTTAGTTCTACCTGATGACGGTTGCTTGTGTTGCAATCGAAACGTCGTACTCTATTATTGAATTTATTTTCTTTCTACGTGACTTTACCGAAAGAGCCAAAGAATAAATCTATTATTATTATCAACTTTGCAAACGGAGAGGAGACCGCACCAGGACACGGGAGGGTCGCCCCACTGCGTTCGGTATCGGTGAAGGGATCTGAAGAGCAACTAAAGCTCTGATTTGGGCAGAAAGAGAAGCAGAGAGGAGAGAAAGTGAAGGTGTCACATTGTTTTATTCCCCCGTCTATTTAAGAGCGAAACAGGAGGACTTCTCCACAATTCCGGCTGCCGCCTGATGAGTCTGGGGTGTGATGACCGATAAGACGTCGTCCTGTACTCGAATTGTAAATGTTGTGGGTTTACTCTCCGACACAAACGTGTAGTGAACTAGTAACTGATTGGCACGGTTTGTTCACGTGACAAACCTTACTAATTTGGCTGTGTCCGGTGGTTGACGGGTTTAACGACATATGTATGATTATGATTTAAAGCTTTCGTGACTGCAGGGATTCATGTTTTTGGTTCTTTCGGTAAAGTGACGTAGAAGGGAAATAATAAAATGATACAAATATTTTTATATTATGTTTTATATTTGTTTTATTTTATTATTTCCCTTCTACGTGACTTTACCGACAGAACCAAGAATATGACACATGTATGTTTACGCCAACTAACCCTACAACAAGAAAGCTATACCGGTTGCTTCATAACACTTATATGGGACTGTCGTTTTTAATGGAAAAAAAATAACATAGTATAATATACTATAACAGGATAACAAATGTATGTCAATCGCTTCAAAAAGTCAAAAAGTCTCCCACTTGTTCGCCATCATTGTCAACGCGTGTCTGGAATCTTCTCCAGGTGGTCTCGTGAGCCCGGAGGAACATTTCCCGTGATTTTGTCGTGCCACATTCTCAGAAACGTTAAAACATTTTTTGAAGCACCCTGTACATATGGAGAGTACAAAGAGTGACGACCGGTACGGTCCACGACGGGGTGAGATGATGAACTCAGCCAGTGACCAGTCACGGGTAGGGATGGAGGGGGTTGCTTCCTCTGAATGCTTTCATCTGGGCGCGGTGCCACCAAAGAGACCCACGTGACTGACTCCTGCCAAGGCGAAGGCTCGATACGCCGGGACCTATGCCACTAATGATCTTCATCTCCCGTTGTTTGGGGCTTTTTTGTGTTTTCTCTTGAAGGCTTTTTGATGTTTGGAGTAACACGACCACAAAAAGTTACTGTTTTTGTTTTCAACATCGACCCAATTCTGCAGTGCGTTTTTATTATTTTCTTTTATTTCATCCTTGTAGGTTTCCCTTCGGGCCGTCGCCGCGTGTCGCCGTCAATGCGACGGAAAAGATAACGGGGAGAGCCGCGTGGGACACGACGGTGGTGTCACACGTGTCAGACGTGTCACTCGCGGAGGTGACGATTGGTGCCACGATAATGCAATCGTGAGTGTGTGTGTGCGCAAATCTCCGTGAAAGCCCGCTGCACGGTGCTGAAGGATTTTCACAGGCCGCGTGATTTATCCTCCTTCCCGTGTTGATAACGCCGCTAATTAAATCAACTGCTCAACGAGAAATGTCCTTTGCTGCAAATTACCGCGCGTGACAAATTCATGAACGGAAGGAAATATTAATAATTAATGCCAATACTTTTACCCAGCACGAAGCCTCGCTGCATCGTGTAGCCGTTTTCCACTGCCACATCCGATCCGTGCCAGTAGCCTGTGGTACAGGTGGTTTTTCCAGCGGCAATTTTGCGAATTCGAGCCTGAACCAAACCGTGGAATACTCTGGCCTCGCGAGAAGACATCTGAATTTGCCTCTGGGCTCAGTAGAGCTAGCGGCGGGGGTTAGTCATTTTCATTACATATTTCATCAAACAGTGCAGCGCAGGGCAGTGGGGAACGCAAACACCTGGTGCCTCCTGGGTCTTTGATGGGCTGGCTCGAGGATGGCATCTGTGAAACACGAGTTTCATAGCTCATCGGATTTCTCCAGTAGACATACATATTCTGAATTTGCACCTGCGCGGCTCTGTTGTACATTGGAGAAGAAATATCAACGACTGTTTTTGTTTGTTTGCTTGTTTGTTTGTTTAAGGAGGGTCCTGCTACACTGAGTTGGCCGTCCAATTGCATCCATGGGGATTTGTCTTCACGTTGGGAAACGTTGGAGAACGCAGAACACCAATCAACAAAGAGGACGGTGACACTCAGCACCGCCATCTCCTGGAACACCCCTCGCTGCCCCACGCCTACAACACCCGGCAAGCCCTGGGAACGTCATCCCGTGCTTACCATCGCAGGGGTCAGCAACCTGCACCTCCGGCGCAGCATGTGGCTCTTTGGCTGCCCCCTTGCGGCTCTTATGACTGCCCCCTTGTGGGCAGCCGTCTTTTTTTTATTTTACTGATTTTAATTTATTCGGTTATTTATACTCTAAAGCAGAAGTCGGCAACACGTGGATCCCGAGTCGCATGCGGCTCTTTAAGGGCCGCTTCGTGACAGTTATTGACTAAGGACCGACCGTCTCGTATTCACCACACACAGTGCATTGCGGCTCTTTAAATATTGAGTTTATAACCGGATTCGAAGCAAAATGGTTTTTCGTGTTATTTTGGTTATCGACTCCTGAACTAGACAAATGCACAGGAAGCATATGGACACAGGTAGACAGACGGACACAGAGACGGATGAACTGTAACCAGATAAAGGCCCAATGAATGCAACGTGCAACTCCTTTGCACTGGAGATAATGGGAGAGACATACGGATTTCAAATAAATCACCGTAATAAAAAAAAAAGGAAAAACGTCGACGAAACAAAAGGAAAAATGCGCGTATTCTTAAATACATTTCACGGTGCGTTTGTGGCCCAGCAGAAGCAACTGAGTGTCAACGACGAGGGGCAGCTCGTGCCCTCCTGCGCCCCGTGGCGAGACGAACGCCGAGGCAAACCCTCGCGCATGTGTGGAGCGACTTTTCATCTCCGCGGTTTTCTGGGGCAGCGCTTTGATCAACGTGGAAGACTTTACAATATGGTAATCCCCGAGTAGCAAAACACGACCGAAACACTCGAATGTCACTCAAGTTGTTGGATCATCTTAACAGGTTTTTATCATGCTTCCCGCCCCCCCTCTCGAACAGAGCAAATACATTCAGGCTTTCAACCTCGCTTGAAAAGCGTTGAAAATTGAAAATAACCAAAAAGAGAAAACAAAACAACAACTAAAACCCAAGCCCCCCCTTTGTTGTTTGAACCCAGCACCATTCGTCCGCGTGTACCCAGGACGAAGATGGCGCATGCTGAATGTTCTCATCCTCCCTGGCTCCGTAATTTCCTGCGGCGCCACGGTGCCTCCGTCAGCATAGATCCTCTCCCCCCCCCCACGGCTCCTAGCGACCCCTGGGGGCTGAGTGCTCGGCCCCGTCGCCGCTCATCACGAATTCTGCGGACATTGCGGTTCCTTGAGCTCGCTCCGCCGACGCCACGGACGCCACTGACGGCGTCGACAGTCGGAGCCAGGAGGGAGAGACGCCGCGCGGGTGGCCGAGACGGGCGGCTGCGGATGTCACAGAATGGCAAAGGTGCGGCCCTGCAATTACTCGCTCACGCCACTGCTGACGGAAGGGCAACTTGCTAAGACGGATATCTACAGAGCCACATCTTTGGAGGATATTTGGCCTGCTCTTGCACGCCGGTCAGACGTCTAGGAAGAGATGGGAAGCAAAGTCAAAGTTGTTTCCTGCTCAAATGAGCAGTGAAGCGGTGCTCAAATCTCCCGTGTGCAGCAAAGTGCCGGCGGTGGGAATTCCACTTTCCTATGCCGGTCACCGGCATATCTATAGGATAACCACTGTTGAATAGCCCACAAATTGGTACTCATTCTATCGACCGACGGAGCCATGAAGAGCTGAGCCAATGCCCCACCCAAGACAATCTGGGCGTACCCACATTTGCTCACTGCCACGGTCTAGGTTACATGCGTGGCATGATTGTTGCCTTTGCAATTGCGGCAGCTAAACTCAGGAACTCGTTGTCCCATCGAGGTCAGGGGACTTCCGAGACTTCAAATCTCGACAAAAAACGTGTCTGTTTAAAATGGCATTTTCTCTTCAGTTATTTTCAAACGTCTTTCGAACCCCTTCTTCCCTCGGTTGATGTTAAACTATTTCCACCTGGCCATGCATAGCGTCATTGAGAACGATTACACTGGTCAACAAAAAAAAATCTTTTTTTTCTGGCCTGGACTTTTGCAGCTGTTTTAGACTAATTTCAGGGTGCTGATTCCAAATTTCATCTCAGATTTGCTCTATCACATCATTTTTATGCTATCGGCATACCCCATTTTCATCGATTTTACCCGAAATTAACTCTGTGACTTATGATTGCAAGTTGTTGCCAGTCAGTGACTGCTTTAGTGTTAAAATATGGTGCTGTATTTTTAGGATAGTGTGTTTATAATATCATTTTATGTAGATATCCACATTTATTTAATATTTTTCTTCTGCAGTTTTTATTGAAAATGCAATATTTGATATCTCAAAAACCTAATGTGATAGACAAAAACTGATGCCAGATTTGGAATCAGCACCCCAAAATTACCTTAAACCCGTTGGAATACCTTATGCCAGAAAAGGTGTGTTGACCAGTGTTATTTAAGGGCGCTTTATACATTTGTATTATTATTGTTTTTTCGGTAAAGTCACGTAGGTAAAAACATAAAAGACGGAAGCTTGTGTTGCCTCCGAAACGTCGTGATTTTTTATTTTATTTTACTTTTTTATGTTTTTACCTACGTGACTTTACCGAAAAAACCTAAGAATATTATTATTGTTGTTGTTGATTTTACTACCCACACACTTCACCCCACCGCACACACGCCCTGCCGATCGACTCACGGTGGTGAACCAAATTGCACCGCTGGTTTCGACAGAGGCAGCGGGATTGGGATCTGAGTAACGTCCAACGTTCGACCTCGGCGCCCTCCGGACAGCCAGTCCGTTTCCACCGCTGTGGCAGCTTTCAACGAAATTTAGCGCTTCAAATAAAAATAACCCACCGGAGTGTAATTAGCGTGATTTTAATTTGAGAGTCGTAATCCGCGTCACGTGTTATGTTTTTCCCTGATTGGTTATTTTATTCCACGTCCCAACTGGCGATGACCGCTTTTGAGCACACGCGACGACGATTCACAACTTACAGGTTTTGTGCGTTTCAATCATCAGCCACAGTGTGGGTCTTAATTCCCATTGTGGCATCATGTCCCCTTTGCAGGTTTCCTATTGATGGCATTAACACGTGTTTTTTTTATATACGTCGGCTTTTATGAGCAATATTGTCATTCACATTTTTTTGTGTCGTCAACCCTCTCTCACCCGACACAAACAATTTATTTCAAGTGTCACGGTGATTCAAACGGGTCACATTTATCATTTAACACCACCGGGATTGGGAGAGCAACCTCGCAACGTTTACATTGGGTGCCACCCACGTACATCTCCACCCACCCACGTACCCCTCCACCTACCACGTACACCGCCACGCGAACGATGGTTGACTCCGACTCGCTGGACGCTCGCTCGCGCAGCAGGATGGAGGTCTCTCTCACATACCTCTACTGGACATCCGTGAAAAATAGATTTTTTTTCTTTCTTCATAGCTCTTAGCATTCTTCGTCGTCGCCGATAGCAGAAAGACCCCGTGACCCGGACCCTCCAAAATTATCTCTTGTGGTCCCCTAATGGACAGGAACCACCACCAATGATTATTTTGCACGTCAGATGAGGCTGTAACTAGGGTGGGGGCGGGGTGGGGGCGGGGTGGGGGGGTGCAGAAATCAGTTGAGGAAGCCGGTCTGGACAAATGAGTCACTTGGATCAATTGATGAATTTCCTCGCATACAAAACAGGGGTCAGTGTCATTATCCTCCAATTATATCGTCAATGTCAAGGCACCTTTCCGGCTGCTTCTTCTTCTTCACAATCCGCACATTGAGGATCAAGGCGGACGAGGGGAAATGTAAATCACAGGAATGGGACCCCCAGCTTTTCCCACCGATGACGAATCATCCCTTTTGCCCCCCCCCCCGCCTCCCCCTCGGTTTATCGTGGTGTTTACGCAGTTCAAAATATATATTGCAAAATAATAAACAAAGGAAAATACACCTCCCCCATCCCAACCTCGAAACCCACCCCATCCCCACCAGGTTCGAGCAATCAATGGCGGAGCCAGGATTTTCAGGTGGGGGGGGGGGCAACCCCTCCAGCAATGAATAATGATAGAGGAGTTGTGAGTAAGTAAGGACTTGTTAGTAAGGAGTTGTTGGTAAGTAAGGACTTGTCCCTTGCTTTTTATTCGACGCGTGTGCGGCGATGGCGCAACCATCGATCGAGGGTCAAATTCGAACCGCGTTGTGTGATCGGCATCGCGCTCGCTGAAGGTGTTTGCCTCCAGGGAAGTCGTGTGTTGTATACGCAACTGCGCACAATTATGTGAGTCACTTATAACTGCTTTGCCGTTACTTATTGCCAATTATGGACTCAGACTATTGTCCTATCATCTAATCGAGTCCCTGGCACAATAATATGCTACACAGTGGCAGTGGGGGTCGCAAAATGCCGATTTATTACTAATAAACCCCAATGATCCGATCGAAATTAGGGATTTCGATCGGATCATTGGGGGAAGTACGTGCCACCCCACCCCCCCGCCAGTGCGGGCACGTCGAGAGATAGAGACTCGACACGATATCTCTCAGCCACACACAAAGACAAAGGGCCCCCCTATAGCCTGCTACGGACTGTTGGGGCAAGTGCTGTGAGTGAGCACCTACGAAAGGCCGGCACGGCACACGAGGGGGTGGGTGTCGAGCATCACAACCCGGCCGTCTTTGTCTCTCAAGTGCCGATGTTTACACATCCACCCGCACAAATTCGCAAGATGAAGTAGTCAATTGAGACCGAATCAAGCAAGGGAACGACCAAGACCGGTTCAGATAATCGTCACTAAATACAAAGACAAAGATTCCCCCATATAGCCTTAACAAACTGTTGGGGCAAGTGCTGTTAATGAGTAGCACCTATGAAGGCCGGAACGGTACACGAGGGGGTGGGTCACCAGCACCACGCCCGACCGCCTTTGTCTCCCCAGTGGCGATGTTTACACACCGAACCAGGTACTCATTTTAGGCTGAGTCGACCTAGGGGAGGCCCGGGACCGGTTCAGATAATCGTCACTGGTATTAGCCGTGAGCGGGAATCGAACCCGTGTCGCCGGGTTCATAGCGCAGCGCACTAACCACTACACTACCGCTCCCCACAAATACGCACACTCACGGACATGGGGAGGCACTGGCTTGTGTCAGAGTCAGATTCACACACTGAGGGGGGCGTGGCCTCACTGAGGGGGTGTGGCCTCGCTGAGGGGGGCGTGTTAGACACGTCCCCGTCAGTGAGGCAATAGTGATAGCTGCCTCCCCTGGTGCTTATTCATTGCAGTTTCATGACGAGACCAGCGAGCCTAAATATCTTTATACACACACGTGAAATAAGTTACCTGGAGTATGGAAGGCGAGGACATGAAATGAAGGGGTCTACAAACATTACATTGGTGACATACTGAGATCGTAACAGGCACGAAGCTTATTGCCCGCGCTCCATCCAGTTACTGAGGGGTTGTGCAATCAGAGGGGAGGCTGAGCTCGTCGCTGCCTCACCTCTCGTCTCTTCCTGTATTTGCAGCGGAGTTCCGCAAATTTGGCGATTTTGACTATAAAAGTGATTGGAATCGTACAGAAATGACATTTATAACACAGATCAGTGGAAAAATCTTCATATTTATTTAATTTCATTATTATTTTCTTTTTACTTTGTAACAGCTATTTTCATTGGAGTATGACAGGTATGGGCTCTGTCTCCTCTGCCTCCCCTGACCGCACGTCCCTGGTATACACACACAATTAAGTAGCATTTCCTAAACGGTGCATTTGCATGAAGAACAAATATACGCGCATTGTTCGGCCAATCAAAATATTTCACATCCGCTGATGTGTTTCTGCCTTGCCCCAAGCTTTTTCAGCCAAGCTTCTGAACAACAACAAAAAAGCGTGGCATTCCACGTGACACCGATGAAAATCAGGACGTTCTATAAAAGGCAAGATGTCTCTGGGCCCTTGAAGGACAACCCGGGGTTTTGGACGGGCGTGGACTGATTGCATTCGACGTTCCTTCCATATATCGCCGACGACGTCTGCAGGTACATCTGTCTGATCTGAAACGATGTTATGCTCCCAGCTAGAAGTTTATGTCTCCCCGAAAAAAATGAAGTGTATCCTCAAAAAAATAATGATTAGTTCACCCAAAGTACAGTGTGTATATATATGCGAAGGGAAAAAAAGATAAAGATCACCCAAATAGCCTCAACAGACTGTTGGGGCAAGTGCTCCGAGCGAGCATCTATGAAGGCCGCCACGGCACACAAGGGAGTGGGTGTCCAGCAACAAACCAGGCCGCCTTTGTCTTTCTCAAGCCGATGTTTACACAGCGCACCAGGTACTCGTTTGCGGCTGAGTATACCTAGGGGAACCCCAGGACCGGCGCAGATAATCGTTACTGGCGTTGGCCGTGAGCAGGAATCGAACTCGGGTGGTTGGATTCGTAGCGCAGCGCGTTAACTACTGCACTACCGCTCCCCACACAAACAGTATGTGTGTGTGTGTGGGGAGTGGTACACAAACAGTGTGTGTGTCTTCTTGGTTCTTTCGGTAAAGTCACGTAGAAGGGAAGTAATAAAATGATAAAAATAAAACATAATAAAATAATTCTCACGACGTTTCGGCCACAACGCAAGCAGCCGTCCTCAGGTGAAGACCAGGTCTGTCGGGGAGAAAGCGTCTGAATGAAACACCACCACGCTTGGAGCGTATATTTAAGCTGGGTTGGAAGGGGGGGGGGGGTAGGGCGCCTTGACAAAATAATTTGCATATCAAGAGGAATTTAGCATATTTATGGGAAATGCAGGTATGTGATTAGTACTACTTGTGAAATGCGTTAGTGTGTGTGTGTGGGGAGCAGTACACAAACAGTGTGTGTGTGTGTGGAGCGGTACACAAACAGTGTGTGTGTGTGTGGAGCGGTACACAAACAGTGTGTGTGTGTGGGGACAAATCCACGTGTTCCTCTTTCCCACGCGCGCGTCTCTTCCACGCTTCTTT